TACATTAAGAGAGACTAGGAAGTAGGATTGGCTATCTTCTTGTAAACAAAAGGCCTTTGAAAATCCTATGAACAACAGCTATGGCATTATAGGTAGAGCTCAGATGGGAAGTTACTCAAACATGAGGAAGCACAGCCACAAACAATTGGAACATGGAATGCACAGATTATGAATATAGGAAAGTGAAGTTGTAAAAAATGAAATGGAATGCATGAAGATCAACATTCTAGACATCAGAGAACTGAAATGGACTGGCATGGGCCACTCTGAATAAATTTTAGTTAATAGGCTGTCTAAAATAGGAGTTTGATCCTAAGAATCTAGTTTTGAATGTTGTTGTTATGTGTCATGACCCTATGTACAGTAGCTCTGAAGTCTGCCCTGTCCTAACCTAGTCTGATTCTAACACATCAACCCTAAAACAACTATGAGATATCATTTCACCCCAGTCAAAATAGCAAAATTTAACAGAACAGCAAGCAACAAATGCTGGCGAGGTTGTGGAGAAACTGGAACCCTGATTCACTGTTGGTGGGAGTGTAAAATGGTGCAACCCCTGTGGAAAGCAGTATGGCGCTTTCTCAAAAAGTTGCAAATAGAGATACCATTTGACCCAGCAATTCCACTACTGGGAATATACCCTGAAGAGACCATAGCTGACATCCAAGCAGATATATGCACACCCATGTTTATTGCAGCTTTGTTCACAATAGCAAGGAGTTGGAAACAACCTAAGTGCCCATCAACAAACGAATGGCTAGAGAAGCTGTGGTATATTCGCACAATGGAATACTATGCTGCATTAAAAAACAAGGAACTCATGCTATATTATTCAAAATGGATGACTCTGGAGAACATTATGCTGAGTGAAATATCCCAGTCACAAAAGGACAAATATTACATGATGCCACTGTTGTAGAATGGGACTGTCCTTGGGGTTGGGGAGAGACTGAGCAAGATGGGTTCAATAATGTATACTGCACTGAAACAGAGGAGGGAGAGAACTGTTTAAAAGAGAGATGTAACTGGGTATTTCTGTCATCACAGGAGACTAGAGCGAGGGCTGCATGGTGGAGGGGACCTGGGGGAGGGTTTGTAAAACAATGAAAGAATCTTTTCTTTTACTTTTCCATAATTTTTGGACTCATGTACTTATAACTTGTTAGTCAAATTTGTGTCTTCTAGGTTGCAACACCCCCATGATACATCTTCAAGGATATGTACATGTACAGCCAAGCACAATCAATAAGAGTGCATCTGAATTCCAAAATCAATCTCCATAATAGTCTATGTGTTCCCTACTGCCAAAGGGGCCCTTTAGAGTAGTGAGAGAAGATCTTCACCCTGAAACCCACAGCGTCCCTTTTCAGCAGGAAGTAGCTAAGAGAATACGCCGTCCCCTTTTCCTTATGACTCAGGGTGAAGTCTCTCTCAGGGAGGAGTGATAGGGAATGGCAAAGGATACACTGACAAAGAAGATTAATCAGAACTGGCTTTGACAAGCACTGTGGCATTTGGACAAGAACAAACTGGGAGGAGGGTAGAGAGAATAGTGCAACAATGAATGAGTGGAAGCCCAAAATCTCTGTAAATGTTTATGAAAATTAATAAAATATAATTATAGAAAAAAAAAACCAAAAAAACACATCAACCCTCCATTGCCCCAGTTACTGTATTAATCCATCTCATCTGGGGTCTTCCTCATCTCCTCCTTCCACATGCCCAAAGTAAGTGAGACAGTACTTAAAAATCCTAGCCTCTAAGGAGAAACCTGGTTTCACCCTCTAAAAGACAGAACTATTTGTTTCCTTGGTGGTCCATGGCATGTTCAAGACTCTTCTCCAGCATCACAACTTGAAGACATCAATTCTTCTCCTGTCATCCTTGTCACTGTCCAGTTCCTGATGCATATCAAGTAATTGCAAAAACCATAGCCTGGATTAAGCACACCTTAGTCTCTAGACTGACATGATTGCTTTCCAGCATTCTGGAGAGGTCCCTGACAGCAGATTTTTCCAACGCAATTAGTCTTTTGATTTTCTGAATTTAATCCATTCCTGGTTTGAAATAATTTAAGATATTTAGTCCCAGGCCTGAGTTGGGCCCTCAGGCCACAAATAAACACCAATAGCATACCAAATTTAGAAATCTACCCTTACCTTGAAAATTATTGCATTGTAACAGCAGTGTGATACAAAGGAAGAACAGAGACACAAGTCACAAAGACTTAGCAGAAGCTAAGGGGCAAGGACCTCTCCCCAGTACTGCCTAAGACAAAAACCTTCCCTGAAGCTGGTACATGGGATTTGGACTTACATTCTCTTAAATTCGAGACAGGCCCCAGTGTGAAGAGACCAGTAACAGTTTATGGTGTAAGACATCATAGAAGTGACTTGTGGCCTAAGCCATCATATCAAGGGGTGGCCGAGGGAGGGAGTTACTGGATCAGTTAGGAGGGTGTGCAAGGAATGCTTACGTAGCAGGAAAAAGGAAGGGACAAGATACACGTGCTTGAGTGGGGGATAGTGAATGTATTGGTTCGTTCTGTAAGGGAAATGTCTTTCATTTGCTCCTTTTCGGTATACTGCTTATCTGTCACATATTATTATAAAACTAAGCATCCAAATTAAGACAGACTAGGAAGAAGGATTGTCCATCCACTTCCAAAATATATCAAGCCTTTGAAAACTCTATCTATAGCAGAGCACTTAAGAGTAGACTAACAGATACTGCAACTGAGGCTGAGCTCTAAAATTTGGAAACACAAAGGAGGAGGAGCAGTTGTAAGCAGAAACTAATGACTAGAATGTGAAAGGTGAGAAGCACGAATGCAGGAAAACTGGAATTTTGAAAAAGAAAGAAATATAATAGCTCTGTCAACCCTTACTCAAGCATATAGCTTCATTCCAAACAGAAGGTCATTTTTTATTACCTACCACCTGTAACTACAAAGTAAGGAAGTCAGGGGCCTTTCCAGCTCTGCTGGCCCTATCGTCATGGGCAGCCTTATGATTTCAGTAGCAATAAAGTCTGAGGAGAACCCTTGGAGAGAAGACCTTCCACCTGGCCAACCAGGAAAGGATCGAGGTTTGGAGAGTTATGGGAATGTCCAAATCCTCTGGGTCTCCATTAAGATTAGTTTCCCAGGCTGGGACTTAGGGTCACATTGAGGGATTTCTATCATTTCCATTCTCACAAGCCCTGACATCATACATACAGCTCCAGACCACAATTTCCTGTAACTACCTCCTGAGCAGTGATTTTTATGAGCTCCTTTTTGCCCCCACCTTGGCATATTATTATTAATTACCAGCAGCTTCAACATCTTTCCATCTGACAAAGTGCAGTACCAACACAGATGAAGCTTCCCAGTTAAAACCCTCTTAGCAAAGTCATAAAACAACAAAGTCCAGGCTCTCTGTCATGCTGCCAACTCAGTCACAGAGAGGGGGAGATGGAGAGCGCCTTCTTGCCCTTGTTAGAAGATCTTCCAGGTGCTAAGTGGGGTCATGAGGTGCATATGTGAGGGCTTTTGAGTTTAATCATCCAAGTCTGATGAAGGGAAAATGGACTAGGAACATCAGGCCAGGGCAGTGCTTTGTCTTGTGGCTTGGTGGAAACACAGTGCCACCACATTAGGTACTGACTGGGTGGGGTGACTGACAGGGGTGGTCATCCAGGTTCAGTCATTTTGTAGTGCTGGGCCTCCACAGTGATGCTGCTGTCAGCTGCTCTCTCATCAGCCCTTGATTCATAGTGTTACCATACACAACCGACCAGCACTGTCTACTCCTGTACAATCCTTGTACTTGGTTGCAAATTTGACTGTTGTGATCAATAGGGTTTTCACTGGAAGTGGAATGGCTTTCAGTCTAGAAACTGCACTGGTTCCAAGTTAGCATCATGGTAAAATGCCAAGCCTCCACAGCATCACAGTAAAATGCAAGCAATCATTGATTGGCACTTGCACAATGAGGTGCTATGCGTGGGAACAGAATCCAGGTCTCCAGCTTGGAAGGCAAGAATTCTACCAGAGAGCCTCCACTGCTCTGATTAGGCCTACAGAATGTGCAAAGTGAGTATTGCAGCTATGTCATTCGATGAGATCTCAGTGAGCAATATACAGACTAGCACAAAGTCAAATATGCAGATGGTCCAGCCACTCACAGGTTCACAGGTTTCAGAGCTTGCCTTGCTCATCACATCTCCCCATCTTTGCCCTTTCCCTCATTACTCCCTATGGCTGAGTCCAAATATCACTTCCTCAGGGAGCCTAATTCCCTGACACAGTCAGTTACTCCCTCTGTGTGCCTGTGCTGTGTAGAGGGTCTTCTAGTAGCCAGTGGGCTTCAGTGAGGACAACCATGTGCGCTGTCTGTCTAGGTCCGAGCTTCTGTCTGTTGAACTGAAACTGCACTGAATTCAAGAAGACACTCCAGGCAGTCTCTTAAGTTGTAAAAAATGGTCGTGCCCAGCAGGGTCAGCATGACCTTTTATTGGGCTGATCGCGAAGTGTAGCCTTTTAATCCCTGAAATTCTGGAGGCTATGTCTTTATTGCCTCAATATGAGGGTGAATAATAAAAGCCTCGTGCTCATCCTCAAGTGTTCTTTGTACATGTAAACATACTACCTTCTCCATGTGGACCTCAATATGGCACAGACACATCAGTACATGCACACACACACTCCCCTGTAACCTTACTCTGCACACACAGCAATAGTCTGGAGTGACTCATGCATCTTCTGTCCATCAACAAAAAAACTGAGGAAACCTCAGGTGTCCTTCTAGTAACTTCAGCACATCTCCCAGAAAGCCCCACAGAAGCAGAGAGGCAAGTTTGTACTAAGCAGTGTTACCACCCTCCCCCCATAAAAGGAGGAGACATAAAATCAGGAGACTGACTTCCCTGAATTCACCTGTTTCATTGCTTTTCTCCCTCTCATGTCACAAACTTGTAAAAGGGCAATTAGTGTTGGCTGATTAAAATGATTAACTCACCCGATGTAAGTGCTGGAGCATCTCCAAGTATCTGCAGAGGGAAAGAGGGTGGAGCCTGTGTTAATCCCCATCCTGAACAAGCCCCAGAGGGGTGATGCCTTGTGTATAAGCTCAAGGCCAAAGGCAGTTGCTTGGGAACTCACACTTTCTCTGAAGATAGTAGTTCCTGCACGATGACATGGGCTCTGGACTGTCCTTCCACCTGTTGGGAGAATCAGAGCAATGAGCAGGGGTGACATCAGTATGGGAAGCAGATGATGTTCTGCTCCATAAGCACAAAGTGGGTGTAAACATCCAGCCACCACACTCAGGCAAATCTACCAGCCCCTTCCCTGGCACTCATTATCTGTGTGATCTTCAACAAGTTATTCCTCATCTGCAAACATAGTAATCAACAGCATCCAAAGGAGAAGGGTGCTGAGATAATGCCCAGCCTGGTCCTTGGCACACTGTCAATGCTCCTAAGAAGGGCTGCACTGCAGGAGAAACCTGGGCTCCTCCCATGTGATTTACTGCCTCTAAAACAATCCACTGAAGGATCAGCTATAGGTTGGATCCAACTCGAAGGCACACAACATCATGATTGTATCTCCTCCAGTGTCATAGGCACTTCCTTACTCACTTCGTCTCACATACTTTGGACATGTTGCAAGGAGAGGCTATTTCTTGAAGAGGGATATCATGCCTGGAAAGGTAGAGGGACAGTGATAAAGAGGAAGATCCTCAACCAGGCAGACTGACACCATGACTGCAGGCATGACCTGGAGGGTATTAGAGATTGTGAGGTTGGCACAAGATAGGACAAGATTCAGATCTGTTGTTCATAGGGTCACCATGAGTCATCCTCAACTGGATGGCACCTAACAATAACAGTGTCTCCCAGCAAACTTCTACATTTTTTCTTTATAAAATGGAATTTAATTTTTTATAAACTGTATTGGGCTTTTCATTCATAGACCTTTTGTTATAACATTAATTACTACTAACGTAATTAATTGTCGACTCAAGCCTTTACTGTATATTGTCTTTTCTTCACAAATCCTACTTGTTAATCTTTGCGCCCCTCTCCCTTCCTGTTAACCCTTTAAAATGGATTCTGTTTGTAAGCAAGTCTTTCTTTAAAAACTCTCAAACTCATTGCTGCCAAGTCAGGACTGACTCAGAACTGATCCTCCGGCAGGTTTTCAGAGGCTGTAAATTGCTCAGGAGGAGATTAACCATCTTTTTCCCAAGGAGCAACTGGTGGATTCCAACTACCCACTATCGGGTCAGCAGTTCATTCCCTACCCACTAGGTTGCCTTTACTTAGCTTTTTATATTTGTAGTCTTATACTATAACTGCTTTTTGTGACTGACTGATGTCACACAAATGTAATCTGTTAAGGATCATGCATGTATTTAACAAATTTGTGAACGATTTTTAGTGGTGCGTAATACTCCATTGTGCAAATGTATCACAAATGTATTTAGCCTTCATCCACTGATATACACTTTGTTTACAGCTCTTTGCTATTTTAAATTTTTATTATCATTTTAAAAATAGCAATATAATTTTTAAAAATAATAAGAATTATTATCTGCTGTAAATATGGGTGTGAGTATACCAGTTTGTGTTGCAGTGCTTATTTCTCTCCACTCCCAGGAATTTATTTTTTTTAAATTTTTTTCTTCTTTTCTTGTTATGTACTGTCAATTCGGATCCAACCTGCACAGGAGGAGATTTCCCCTCCTTCTCCAGCAGAGCATTTGGTGATTCAAACTGAGTGCTTTTGGGATTGCAGCACAACTTCTTGCCACTAGGCCACCAGAGCTCCCCACTCCCAGCAATCTTAAACAACCTGTTTCTCTGTATATGGTGAGTTTTCTTAGCTTTATGCTTCTGAGCATCCTTTTCTCTTCTGCCTGGCTAAACGTCCAGTCATCCTTTAAACCTTAGAGTAAAAGCATTTCCTCCAGGAATCCTTTCTTTATCCTCTACCCTAGAACCAATGGGGCGAGATACTCTCTCTGAGTATTTTCCTCTCATGACCAACCAATAATGTCTCCCCCACAGGGACAGGCCCCAGTACCTGGCACACAGTGAATTCTCTTATGGGTTGAGTAGAAGGAAGGAGGGAAAGAAGAAAGAAGGGACTATTGAATAAGCGGATGAATGTTCACTCTACTTGAGATGTATGAACTCTGCTGGCTGACCTGAAAAGGTAAGACCACTACACTTAAGACTCAGTTTTTTTCATCCGGAATGTGGTGAAAATCAACCCAGCTGCACGCAGGCTGGTCTTCTCAAATGTACCCCTCACTTGAGAGACCTATGCATTCTGTTCTTTCTTCCGTCCTATCTTGGTCTTTCTCAGATCTCACGTGCATTTTAAAATTTTCTAGTCTTTGCTCAAAAGTCATGTCCTTTCCATGGACATTCATACCGACTCTTCTTAAAGAATACTCAAAGACTCTCCAGTTCAAGCTTTTTCAGCCATGGCATTACTTACAGGAAGCTGTATGATGGTGCTGTCCCTGAGTACTGTGGGACAATGAGCAGTATCCCTGGATGCTCATATTATCTCCTCAGATGTGAAAATCACCTACTCTTCAGATATTGCCCTCCAGGGCAAAAATACTGCTCCTAGTCTGACCCTTTATCTTATACTTTTACTTTTAGCAGTGGCACTACATAATGCTATCCATGGACACAGCCAATGTTCAATAAACATCTGAATAAACTAATGGAATGAGGAATGGTGCCAGGCACACAGTAGGTGCTTAATGAATGAGCTCCTTTCCCTAGACAGCCCATCCCTAATAGTTTCCAAGAAATAAAGTGGCGAACTTTCAATTTCTTTCCAAATCTATGAGATTAGAACACAGGAGGGGTCTGAGCTTAGCACATGGTCTGCTGGTGTTCACCTGGTCTCCCACCCCTTGATGCTGCTCCATCTTGACTCAGGGTTGACCTGCTTATTTGCAAAGCCACTGTGGGGCTGAGTGGACATGAGTAGTTTGTTCTTTGCAACAGAGGAACTTTTGCAGAGGCCCTCATGGGAAAAGTCTTCATAAGCAAAATCCTCACCAAGGAAAATGTATTCTGTAGGAACAACTCCCTCCATAGCTTAAGAAACACTGAGGCGGAAATTGTACACAGAGCATTAACTTGTAGAGAAAGATCTCCTGAGATCTGAAGCTCAATTTCTTCTCTGATAAAACGACTACAAAGGACAAGACTGCCAATATTTGGCAGGCTTTAGAACACTTGATCATTCTAATGCAAAACTTATACTTGGACCAGGAGGCAGTCATCAGAACAGAGCAAGGGAAAACTGCATGGTTCAAAATTGGGAAGGGCGTACGCCAGGGATGCATCC